CACCTCTTGAGAAGGAACAATTCTTATGCATGTTGAGGCTGTGTATAATTTTAACCTCAAAAGATTTCTTTCACGGTCTAAAAGACTAAGACATGCTAATTATTAATATTCATTCAAGAGGTCTGTATTTTCTTTAAAACAGAAAACACGAAAGAATTTCATTAAACACAAATAATGTGAGTGTAGCACAGCTGGCCGTACAACTGGTTCAAACAGTATTTAATGTTGTGCCATTACAAAAGATTTCAGAATCGCCTGTAATCTCTTTCCACCTCCTGGGAGACGATGCCCGTTTGTATAATCTCATTATTTCAATCACATCTTTGTGAATAAAACCAAAGCAAGGTAGGATAACAGTGATTTTTTTTTAACTAGAGAATTTGGGTTTTATAGTGTATATAATTTTACTTGCTAAGAATAGAAACTGCAGATTTTAATTAGATCTGTCAATTTTAAAAGGACTCAAATTTCTAAATTAGGAGTTGTAAAATTAAAAAATCACATAATACATATCACAGTCTTATTGTCCTGAGTGACTGAAGTTTCCATATCCACATTCTCGACATTGGTTTTATTTGACTATCAACTTCTCTTTTCAGGCTTTTTGCAATTTTTATTTCTACAGCTAAAACATGCTCCAAAACCAGATTTCTTGAAGGAAGAGACTCAAAAATCTTTATAGACGTTCATCCATTTAACTTTGTACTGAGTTTTCAAATTGGTGGTCTCCTTAATACGGATTCTGCAAAAAATAAGAGGGTGTACACTAATCCAGAAAGCCTCCCCAGCGATACCTGTGGAAAATTGTAGACCCAAGTCAGATCTTCCCGCTCCCTGGGAAGGATTAATCCTGGATTAAGGATTTAGAGAGGGAATTTTAAGAGCCCAGAAGGGCCCTGTCAGCTTCCCACCCCTGGGCCCCGGGCGGTGAGAGGGGCTCTGTGCAGCTGGCGCTCCTGGCTTCCTGCACCTCGCCTATCCTGTCCTGCACTAGGAGCAGGTTCTGCAGCTCAGCTGGAGCGCGGGGTAAATTCCTCCGAGCGCATACCCTGGGATGGGGCTGTCACAGCCCTGTGTTATTTTCTGGAGCCTGGCTTATTTCAGGAGAGCCTCCGTTCTTTCTGCATATCTTTCCTTGCAGCTGCTAAACAAACCACATATGCTCTTCAGTCAACAGCTAATTAACCCAGTCATGTACAGTTTTCATATTCAATGTCCAGGATGCTTCCCTACCTGCGGTAGCAAACAGAGCCTGGGCACTTGCCCTGTCTGGCTGCATCCCCATCCCTCCCTCTGCTCCCACAGCTTAGATGAGATTTTGATTCAGTTTATCATTTTACAGAGGCAAGAAATGCTACTGTGCAGGTTTGAGTAATGAGAGGCTTCTTAAAAGAGGGTTTGTGGCTTCCTTGAAGTAGGTGCCTTAAACGCAACTTATCCAAAAAGTTAAAATGTACAGAAAGACACCAGTGCCTTCATGCAACAGCACCGCGCTGTCTTACCGGTGTTACCTGGGCCAAGAGCGTTGCACGGGCTCTTCCTTCTTCATCTGCTTTTGAGCATGACGGTCAGTTGGTCTTCTCCATCCTGCGCCCGAGCAGAAGGCTGGCCTGGAGGAGGGCTCCTTCCCTGTTTCCCAGCATCGTTGTAGCACTCTGGATTTCTGGAGCAGACAGCTGCTCTAGATTTAAGACTATAAAAGAATATCTTCCACTTGTGTCAACACATGATGAATGGTGCCTTTTTTTTTGAATTTGAATATCTCAAGAACATTTTTTTAGGTATCTTGCAGATCTAACCTTCCAGCTTTTGAATGGCTGGCTTTTGCTGCCAGAGATGATCTAAGGCCTTTGCACAGCAAATCTACAAATACGAAATCTCTGTTTTGCCTTTACCTTAATTAATCCCCAATTCATCAACCATTCACTGCCAGAAAACGTATCAAAGAAATTGAGTTAATAAATCAAGTTAAGGATCACAGCAAAATTGTGACTGTTTGTTCTTTTGGTGTTAAATTTTGTTCAAGTACATGTAGTTATATATATACAGTCACACGTGAGCACCTTTCCTTCGCCCTCCAGACTATTGCTGAACACAGATTCCATTCATTCTTTTCTCTTATGATAATTGAGGCTGTTTCCTTAGATGCTTTTCCTCTGTCCTAGAAATACCAATTCTTTCCAACACAGTGCAAACTGGAAAGAACAAAATATAAATGTGGGTACGTCCCTATTCTAACATCAGGAGACAATAAGCCATGATAAATAAAACACTTGGTACATGGTTCAACTGGAAATTGGTACTGCAGATTCATCTTGTAATCTGGATTAATTCCTCAGTTAAGGACTTGAAGTGAGGCATTAGCTCAAGTATGGCCAAATTTATCTGCCTCCATCTTCCTACTGTGATCTGCCTGTTTTAAAACAATATTGAGGGTCCCGCAAAGCACTCTACAGTTATGCAAAATGATTCTCAGCTTTGGGTAACTTCACTAATTAACACAACCCTACCTTTGAGCAGTCTTGTTGTAGGTAGTTAAGTAGAGAACTGGCTGTAAATCTGTGGCAAAAGATACTCATGGGGAGAGGGTAACTCATAAGCATCAGCTTCAACAACTTCAACGTTTCACTTGCGTGAATATGTAAGTGCTTGAACATTTCAGATAACGCCTGGTTCTTACTTTAGGTTGTTTTGATGTAAAACCAACATGGTTTTTATCTTGAGAGAGCTGCTCCCAGCAAAAAGGAGGGAAGAGTTTTAAAGAAATGCTTTCCTGCAAGGCCGCCTCTTAAGCAAAAGTCAACCAGTGAAGTTCACATCTCAAACCTTTCACTTCACTCCCTCCTAAATGCTGCTAATAATAATTCTTAAAAACAGAGCGGTGGAGAAGCTCCTCCAGTGCTGCACCCACTCTGTGCTCATCCGGCTAAACCTGACACAGGCTTGGTTGGAGTCCAAGACCCTCCCACCGCTTCCTGTGGCTTTTCTTTTGAATGTAGCAGCAATAAAACACACATCTGAGCATCCTACTTCCACAGTATGTTGTTGTCACATTCTTCACCTTTAAAGAATTCCAACATATGCTTCTCTAAATATTTTTTTCTCTATTTATTCTACAAAGTTCCCAGAATAGACTTAAATTATTGATTCTGACAGTTTTCAGTTGGTTTGGGCATTTCACTTGGGTGATTCCCCAAGCTTTGTGAGAGCAAACTCAGCTCGGAGCAGCTGTCTCCTTTCATTGCGAAAATGATCGGTTTCAGATGAAGAATACCGAGGTCCTTTGGGTTTATTTAATAAAAAAAAAGAAAATCTTACTCTTTAAACTGAAAAAAATTAAGGCATATCATATGCCATGGGACCTTGCTCCACAAATGGCGTGTTTCTGGGCATTTTCCCCACGCATCCTCCCCTTGCTTGGTTTGCTCTTCGGTGTGTCCAAACTGGAAGAAAGTGGAGAGCTAAAGGTCCATTGCAACGAATTGTATTGGCAGTATAATGGGCTGAATTAAAGGATAATTTAAACTGACTGATTTAACAGCTTCCTTTTAGTCTTAATAAATGTAAGGTTTAATCAAATGCCAGACAACTGAAGCAACAATGGTACGAACAGCAACACAAGTGAAGCCCCATCACTCCCCGGTGGAGGAGGCTTTGCTGGTGCTCCTCGACGGCAGTGACCAATGTCTGTGAAAGTAAAACAAGAAACCAATTTAAAAAAATAAAACAACCAAGAAGGAGATTTGGGGCTAAATTTTGGCTGGAAAGGCCAGAACAAGGGGAATTGCATCAAGGGAAAACCAAGTTTTCCTCCTAGCCCATGGTAACCTGGCTTTTCACCCGACTTTTCATAGTGGCCTCAGTGTTGTGCCTTGAAACGACTGCTCTTGGGAGAGAAAGAGGATTTGGTTAGGGCATTTCTGGGTCAGTTTGGGTTTATATCTCACACTTCGGCTGAATTATATATTCTACATATCTGACAACCTTTACAAAAATTCTCCACACTTCTTCCTTATTAACGGGGTTCCTTCTCTCATAATGGAATGACATTTTTTAAGTCACATTTCAGTTCAGTAAGTCAAAAAAACTTTCTGATAAAGCTGCAAATATTGCCAGCTTCTTTTCAAGATGGTCTAATTTCACCTTTTTTTTGTGAGAAGAGTACACTTACATTTATCTGCTCTGTACCCTTGGAGTACCAAAAGGTACAGAATGATAATAACAAGTGACAAAATAATTTAGTATAATTCAGATGTTTGTACCTGGACTAAGAAAACTGTAGATGGGAATCACGCACGGCCTCTTCCCAAATAAATGGCTCTGCATGTATTTGGGAAGAGGCCATGGTGGGGCCAGGAGGGTCTGCGTGGGCAGCCGGTGCTGATAACCCTCTCTGGGACCACGGAGGTAAAATAACAAATGCACAGAGACCGGGAGCAGAAGGATTTAAGATAAGCGACCCAGAAACGGAGGCATCACCAAGTCTTTCCCTCCATCGCATCTAGATATAGAGGTTTTCACAGAGGCAGTTTTCGGTCCCAATTTGTGAATTTTAATTTATTGCTTAATTATTTTAACCCTTTTAAGGTCTTTATTGCATCTAAAATGGTTCCAAATATATATTGAGTTTCAAATATGTATATAACTTCTGGTTAGCAAAAGCTGTGGTTAGGTGATAGCTAGTTTGGATTTGCAATTCAAAAACCTTGGACAGCCTGTGCTGTTTAAAAACAAGTTAAATTGTCTGGATTAGCTAATTATTTTAATTGACAAATTCTCAGTTAAGTGCAGTGCAATATAGGGGCTGAAATATTCAAAATAATGAATACTTTTCCAGAAGGGGCTATTTCTGGTTTTAATTTAAGGCTTTATTTTTTGGGCTGCAGTAAGCATTTTTTCTTCTCCCTCAGGGGTTTCTCTCATTCCCTCCGCAAACCCCTGTCCCCCACTCCAGCCCTGTACAACTGGCCACAGTAAAACACAGGAACAATTGTCTTCGCAATTCTTAGGCTCTGCCCAGAATCAGAACGCGTTTACATGAACGAGTGTGAATAAATCCTTCCTGAACATCTTAATCTCATTTTTAATAACAGGAAATATTTTCTCTTCCATAAATATTTCCTAACCTGGTGAACTTCCATAGTTTTCTGTCTTGTTTTCCTGCTTAAAGAAGAGTCTGTAAGATCCACCTCTCCTGGCTCCCTGGATTTAGGGAGATGCAGAGCCACCCAGCTGCGTTGGCACATCCCCTGCAGCCAGGGAGGTTTTTTTAATAATAATACTAATAATTCTAATAATACTAATAATACTAATAATACTAATAATACTAATAATAAAAAACAATAAAACAACAGCAACAACAACAACAACAATATATTGCCATAATAATATAGTTGTACTATATAGGAATAATTACATAGTCTACGTAAACATGGGAGGCAACGATCAAGGTAAAGTTATGTTTTCAATGTGTTTGAGTAGTCCCTGGGTGTTAAGAATTTATAGAACTCTTAAAAGTAAACCACTTTTGCTAATTACCACGTAAGAAATATTAAATAAATTAAGTCTATTTAAAAATAATATTTAAGAATTAGTTTAATAATTAGTTTAGCTGGCACCTGCTCACCGGCAGCCACCATCCTCCCAATTCATCTAATCCAGCACCAGAAACTCCATGTTTGTATTTTCCCACGGCATGGATCTCCCTCCATCGTTTCCACATCTGTTGGATGTGGAGCACCATTTCCCTCCCTCCAGCTCATTTTCCTTCTCCATCTGATTTCCCAGGGAGCGGCGTTGCCTTCTCCTGCTCAGTGACACTCACGCGTGTCATGGGAAATGAAGCATTGGCCTTCAGTTGTGCTCACACTTGGAATAAGTGTAAGGTGGAGGGTTTTTTCCTCCCCTGCCCATACTGACTGCAGCAGAGACAGTCCTGGGTGAAACAACCTTACGGTTTCACCATTCGCTATATTGCCTGTTACTCACTGTTACTCACCATCAAACCTTAAAGAACCTTCCCCACAGTCAAAAATTGCACATTACCCCGATAGTCACCATCCCCTCCCGCGCACCCTCTGCCCTACCCGAGCATGGACACAGCGTTTAAGCTGCCTTCAATGCTGCCAACATTGAAGATGGCAGACGAACACACACAGGGAAGACTGAGCTGTATCTCACCTCTGCAGAGGTGGGCGCTTTGTTTCAACCCGAGGTTCCCCACCTACCTTGAAATTTATATCATTCAGCCTGCAGTGTTCTGCACAAAAAACATGGTAAAAGGATGAGAATAAACAAATGTGTTTGGCTCATGGGATTGATACGAGAACTTTGTTTTTATGCTTGAAATGTGCATGGTTAAGTACCCGTTAGGGAAGATTATTACAGACGCCCACAAGGCCATAATGGCAATCCCTGCTCGCCATGGCTGTGGAATAAATGTAATGGATGAGGGAATTAGTGTCAGGTTTATTCAGATTTCTCTTTTAAGACCTCTGATGTGCATTTTCAGGGGGTTTCTCCTTTTTCTTCTGACATTTGCAAGGCTGATTTATTTGTTACCCATCGGTACTGTAATCAGTGCTTTCATTTCCAGCCTTCTGCTGCTGTGCATATAAAAAAACCAACCAGAGGTGAAACACTCATTGCTTATCAGCATTTTATATTCTGCTGGATAATCCTTAACTCAAAGACATGTAGCTCCACAAAGTGGTGTGTGCTCGGCGGCTCTGGCTCCATCCCTCGTGCTCACTGTGGGGCATGCAGGGTCAGCCCATGTCCTACCAGCATCTCTCTCTGCCCGCAGCTGCTCGGTCCTCCGGCTCTCCCGCTGTTCTCCCGGCCGCGCTCCCGTGACCCTTCGCGCAGGAGTTTGGCAGAGTTGCTATGACGACCCCGCCAATGCAGCCGGCGGCACCCAGCCAGCACCGAGCGCAGGTTGGTGTCCGTGGGGTGGCTCTCGGGGTGGGGGGCAGCAGGAGAGCGTGGGCCAAACTTGAGGGTCCTTTGCAAACCGAGCGCGTGGGCTTTCCCCATCGTCCGCTCCCATCGCTGCTCTGGCACCCTGGTCTCGCTGGGGAGGAGCAGCAAAAGGCGCTCCAAGCCTCCCGCTCAGAGACACCACCATGGGGGCAAGGAAGGACGGGGGGGCGGCTCAGCTGCTCCAGAGGGTGCTGGCAAAGGGACCCCAGCACAGGGCAGCACCGTGGGGCGGGGGTCAATGCAAGGGGTGAACTCACCCAGGGCATCCTCAGGGCTGGGTGACGGTCAGGCAGGGTGCTTCTGCACAGGCAGAGAGGTCACACAGCGGGATGCAGTGCGGTGGCAGGCAGGGTGCTGCCAGGGACAGCTAGCAGCCCCTTCTCTGCAGCTGGGTGTATTTTTCACTGTGCTCTTCATTAAGATGTAAGACTGAAAAAAAGTGTAGTTGTAGCTAAATTGCATTGCTCTGAAGTCCAGTGAAGGGCCAGGGGAAAAAACTGGGCTTCCTGTAGGGCTGTGCAAACTAAAGCTGCATTTTACCAGAGACCTGACAAAGCTCCGAAGTGAGAGCACAGAGCAGCGTCTGGAGGAGGACGCGGGACTCTGTAAGATCCTCATCCCCAAGCACAGTAGCAGAGACGCATGGGAGCAGCAGCCTCTAGCCGTCAGCGCCAAGAGCTGCAGCCGCTGTTGGGAGACTGCAGCCAGAGTGGCTCTGCACTATCTGCCTCTTGCTGCCAGCCTCCCTACACCCTTGTAGTAGGTGGCTAAAAACATCAAGGATGGCGAATACCAACTACATTAACACTTACGTAAACCTGGCACCACTGTCGTAAATTTGGAAGGGAATTCAGGAAACAAAGGTGGCTCCCAGCAGCCTGCGTTACCCTGGTTGCTCCGCATGGCCTGTGCCTCGGAGGGCATGGCAAGAAAACAGTGGGGTGCTGGGGCTGCCCCCACAGCTGGGAATTGGCCCTGGGGTTTTTAAATCCCAAGTTTTGAGCTAAAGAAGTGGTCAGGTGCGGTAATGGGATGGTGATGCTGCCATGTGGCGGGGGCAGTGGGGAGACCTCCCTTCACAGCCATGAGCTGCTCGGAGGTCATGGCCAGTGTTGGGGTGGGTGCACATAGCTGTAGCTCGGCTCTTCTGCTCCCCCAGCAAGGGGAGGACAGATGTGAGCCAGCAATGTGTGGCTCTATGTCCCACAAACCCCCAGCCCTTGGCAAATGTTAGCAAGAGCCCCCCTTCCAGGGGCTGTGGCACCCAAAGGTGAGGGAGGAACTTAGCAGCTGTTGTGTATCTTGTATTTGCATTGCAGAAAAAACATCGTCTGCAGCGGGCTGTGACACCATCATACCAAGGGACAGATCCTGCCCTCCATGTCCTCAAAGCAAGGTGCTCCCAGGTGGGTGGCATGGGTAGGGGACTCCAGCTGGGGTGGCCAAATCCTCCTCTGCCATCACAGGCAACCCTGACCCCAAAATATCTGCTTTGCAACATAGTGGTCTTCGCCTTCCCCCCTCTCCTTGAGGTTGGTGGAGGAGGTACCTGCGTTCAACAGCTGAAGGAGGAGTGACCAGCCAGGAACCCATACTCTGGCCCCTCTCCTATTGCCACAGCCTGGCAGGAACCCGTACGCCTCCCCGGGTGCGAGCTCACAATGCAGTGCCTGGGCGGGTCCCCCAGCCCTGCCTGTGCTGCCCTGGCCCTGCCTGCACTCCCCCAGCCCTGCCCGTGTCCCCCCAGCCCCACGGTAAGGAGCCACGTGGGGCATGCACTACACAACACAGCTGTGTTTGGGGGAGGAAGGCTCATCATGGACTCAGAAATACTTTTTTTTAGCAATGATATCCCCCAAGTAGCTGTTGAATGGCCATTTCCCACAGCTACATGGAGAACTGAGGATGAATGCTAGCTATATTTTCTTACATATAATTTCTAGCTTTTATTCCCTAGCAATGACCTGAAGCACTGTCCTTTCCCCTCTCCTCCAAGCTTTCCCCCATGCCAGGCTCCCCAGCACATGCG